GCCTGTGCAGAATACACACCTGGTAGACGTGCACACTCGTACAGGCCAAATAAATCATGCGGTACAGATCCCACGCTGAACTTTTGCCCTTACATTCATTTGCAATTAACATTTGAATTAACAGGATCATTATTTTTATTCACCGCCATCTGGAGAGGAAAAAATAAATGAGGAATATCTGCTATATAAAGTAACCTGTGATCATAGCGATCAATCCAGTTCCCTAATTACCCTTCATAAGGTTAAAAAAAATAAAATTAAATCTGTTTTCTAAAAAACGGTTTAAAACCCCACTAAAACTATGCCTGTCCCTCAAAACAGCTGCTGAGCAGACAGACATTGCCACCTGCTAAGAATAATAAAATTGACTGAATAGTGGCAGACCTCAATCTGAACCAGGAGACGAGGGATTCAAGTGCTGAAGGGAAAACAGTCCCAAGAGCAGCTACTGCCTCACCCACTCTGAACGGTACCTGTAATGGTCACCATTCAGCCTCTCCATCTTGATGGGAAATACAGTGCACTGCTGGCAGGAACACAGGGACTCTCCCGATTACAGTCCAGGGAAAGGAGTTGAAAACATGCTGAAGAAAGCCATTTTTTATTTTGTTTATACAAAAAAAAGAAAGTTTCATAAACACACCTCAGACACTTGAAGTCTACTCATAAGCAAGCCAGTTCAGGATGTAAACAGCGATGTGATGCCTGCTCAGGCCAGGACACTGTCTGTCTAGAACTGCCGCCATCCTAGCAGTCCAAACCACTGAAGATTTCCCCTTTTAGCAGGGGATTTACAAGTGAGCTTGCAAAACATTTGAGCTGTGGCTAAATGGTATTTTTTGGTTACAAGGACTGGTACAGGTCCTGCTTTAGCATGAAGTACTTTTCCCAATACACTATGGAGTCCAAAAGCAGAGGTTATAAAATCTGGCCGGCCAGCAACACTCCTCAGTTTGCCAACATTAGTCATTTTACCCTCTTCACAAAGTCAGTCACTTAAACGAATAACTTTTCTGCTTTACATTTTCATTTTCATTATTTCAAGGATGTGCTTCCTAATTGTACAAACATATTCTCTTAAAGACCAGTAAAGAGTTAATTAACTAGTGAATAACAGAAAAGTTACTCAAAAGAGACATTATGGCAAAGAACCCTGATACAATCCTGAAACTGCCAGTGCGTCAAACAGCCAGTCCGGCCCCTAATGACTCTACAGAGCTACTCTCTGCTGTTTCTTCCACCTCCATCCTACCTCTTTCTTCCTGAAAGGCATGGGAAAGGTCCAGGTGGCATTGAAATAAAACCTGAGAGTAACCTGAGGAAGGACCATTTGGCCACACATTTCCTAGTTTATCATGATATTCCTGCCTGTATCTCCTCTAGATGAAGAGATGGGAAGCTTAACAGGAAGAGGCTGCTTCTTCTGGTAAATTTGTGGAGCCTAAGAGATATCAAGAGTAAGAAATACTGCCTGCCAAATGAAATGAGAAATGTCATTTACTTCCAGGTTCCTTTGCCAAGGCCTGTTTCTCAAACACCAGCTGAATTCATCCCGAAAACTGGTGTGCATAAAGTTGGATATGCCATTTATTTCTTCCAAAGAAAGGAAGCCAGGAATTGTTTTCACCTCTACCTAGATTTATTAAATTCTAGTATATTTAGACCTAAGCTTAAAATCTTGCTCAGTTTCTTTCCTGTCTGCGCCCCAGCCTGGGTCAGAGAGCTGAGAACATTTCAGAACACCGTGCTTACCTGCAGAAACCTGGCCTCCATGCAAAAAGAGCATTTAAACACATGTAATAGGCCCCTCTAATAAAAATGTTTTTATTAACAGAGCCACTATTCTTGTAGTTATTCAGTTTCACTTAACACCTGTGAGACCCCCATAATATATCTGGCCAGAGTTCCTTCCTCCAAAGTGGCTCCTTCATTCATTGCTCAAGATAAAATTTGGTATCTCAAGTCCCAGAAGTCCCTGCTCACCGTACGCAATTTATGTTTTCAATCCATTCCCCCACCCTCCCACCTAACATTCTGCCCTTCAAAAAGTAGGGTGCAGCCGTCCTGCACATCCCCCCAACTTCTACCTAACCTCTTTCCTGAAACTTGTGAGGTCACAAGTTATGGCCTCCATATCTTCCTAAATGCCTTCTTTCAAACAAACCAGGATTGGGATGGTTTTACAGTCAGTCTACTCCCTGCTACAAATATTTGGGCAGCCTGGCTCAAGTTTTCTCCTCTCCTAAAAACCATTCATAAAGCATTCCCATGTCAGATCTGCAAATGAATAAGCTTGGGTTTAGACATCATTTTCCACCCATGACTCTCCATGTTGCTTTACCAAGGAAATATTATTATGTAATGAATGATAGAGAAAAATGCATTCAATCCATAGCAAGCTCAGTAGTGACTCCTACGGATGACTGTGAGAACTCTTAAATTAAATGCTGTGGGATCACCCTTTTGGTACCTAATAATTTCCACACAAGGAAAGTTACACAAAAATACCAACTTATTTGGTTCTTCACAAAAACAAACCACTCTAGAAATTTTAACTAACACGAGAAAAGCATTTTGCATATTTCATTATTAGGTAACCACTCCATTTTTGTAATAGGCTATCCAAGCCTCAAAAAGTTTGGTCAACAAGTTTATAAAAGCAACAAACTGTCTTTCCAGAAATACAGAAAAATGTAAATAGGGCAAGTATGATGTTATAACAGGAACATTTTTTTTTTCTCCCAGCAACATTCACTATTTTTTTTACCCGTGTTTTTAACCAAATTATGTGAGATTTGTGTTAAGAAAAAGGTCTCCCTCAGTCTAGCAGACAAAGGCACAACAGCTTCTAATGGCTGGCAAGTTAAACTGGGCACATTCACATTAGAAACAGTCTTTTAAAAAGTACTAAAAGGGCAATTAACTGTTGGAACAACTTACTGAGGACAGTAATGGCTATCTCCAACACTGGAAACGTTCAGCTGAAGCTGCTGGTTATGAAGTAATAATTACATTAATGGCATTTCTGTGGTTGTCTTTATGAGTAAATTAAAACAGATTATGGGAATTTATTTATCCCCAGACCGAAATATAAATCTCCAGAGTTTATTGCCATCCTTTAAAGGCCAGTAAAGCTATACTTACGTTAATACATCCTATAGATTGAAAGCTCTTACCAAACTGACTTAAAAAATCATGTCCTATTTTTGTCTTTGTAGGATGAGGTCACTGAAAGCACGTACAAAACTGTAACAGTTTGACAGGGCTGGGAATACAGTTCAGTCAAAGCATCCATTCTGAAATGTTTCAAATAATTTTATTAAACAATCACGTTTTACATGTCATCAGACCTAACCCCTGAAGTGCAAAAATGTTTTTGAGGTATTAAGACTGGAGGAAAACAGGCACAGTATTGGTTGTCAGGGATACCACACTACAGCACAGTGGACTTTGTGAACAACAGGCCTTTATACAGCATTTGCAGGATCAGAGAAAACTGAAAACAAGCCTGTATTTGTCTTTAGTCTTGAGAGCCAAAGAGCCCTGATCATTAGCCAGTTGTGTCACATCAATGAAAACACAGACATGGTTAACAGAGGATGGTGATAAATACCAATGAGGTGTTTCTAGGCCAACATGTACAGTACATGAAAAATGAAATTTAACTGCTGCAAGTGTGACCAAAATCCCAACTGTCTATCCAGTCCAGCTTAATATATGGTGTGTCTACCGTGGCCTCTCTAGTACAGCATTTTTCTATTCTACACAGCTATGCCACTGGTCTGTGCTCCTCTTTGAGGGCACCTGGTCTCTCACACTCACTTCAGATAAGTCTGATGTTCATCAGATTAACTACAGTCAACAGTTACAGTACTGCTGGTGGTCCATTATCCTTCTAGTTGCCCTCTTCCCCTCAACCATGCAGTGAAGAAGTCTAACCCATGCAGAAAATCTGCTAAAGAAATAAGCATTGATCTACAACTCTTCATTTAGAAAGGAATGACTTAACTGAGAACTGCAAAACTGATGGGGCAAAACTGGCCCTGAAAAATCTGGATATTAAGTAAGAGTTATACTGAACTGCCAAACTGTACTCCAAAAACAGATTTTGTATGAGTCAACACTACTTGTTTATATTAGCTTACCTGCTCAAGGGCTCAGGGTGAAAGGAATACTTTTTCCCCTTGGAGCAGTTCCTGGTGTAAGAATTTGGTGTAAGAAGGCTGCAGATGTGGCAATTTTGTGCAGAATTAACTTTTTGCTGAACATTAGATTTGAAGTTCTCACTGATTCTCACTCAATGATTCTGTTGGAAAACGGTTTTACCCCCTTGAGATCTGCAGCATTGTTCCCTGGGACCAAGAGCAGTTTGCCCTACACCATTTGACTCAAAGACACCTAGCCAAATTATGTCCTTGGCATGCTATTATCACCACAATTAAATGGAAGATATACCTAAAAACACATTTCCAAATGAATAATAAGCAGAAGTCACTTATACTAAGTCTCTCTGGAGTCATTTTTAGCCAAGATAGATGAAAACAAGTTCCTCCTGAGACATTTTTTTTTAATTGTGAAAAATACTATGACAATATAGAAGTGACCCTTATCTTAGTACGTGATTATGAACTTATGAATGTTTCTGAATGTGTCATGTCATGTATAGGAGTGGCATGCTTGGAAAGGGTCTCACCTTCAGCATCTTCAGCTTTGAGACCTTATGGGAAGCTGCAGATGCAAGCTGTCTCATCAGCATACCCATGGGCATAATGCCATACACTCTGATCACAAACACAGTTGAGATTCTCATAATTCCCTAGGGTTGTTACCAGTATCACTGCTGCTTACCTACACAACACCTAGCTTATCTACAAATACAGAATAGCTGGAATAAAAGCTGGATACAGCTGGAGTGTTGCCTTAGTATTATTTTTAATGGAAACATATTTCACAGACAAGAAAGGCAACCCTAAAGAAAAAGTGCAAGTAAATCACTGCTTTCAGTTGAAAACTGGATTTCGAATGCCACTCAAGACCGAACTGTTGGGCCACTTTCTGTGCAGAAGAGTTAGGGAACATACAAAAAAGAAAACGCTCGTGATTCCTAGGATGACAGTGCCTGAAATCAGCGCGCTGGTGACTGAGTTCAGCTGGAAAGGAGGTCCATTTGTATGAGCTGCAAGGAGAACAAGAATGCACAGGTAAAATCTGGTTAAAATCTCTCAGCAGTGCCAAACACTTCTGTTTTTCCCTTGCAACACCCTATATACAGAATAATTAAAATGAAGGGACTAAAACTGTAGTTCAAATTGAGCACCTGTCTGCTTGGATAAAGCTTATCTAATTATATTTTGAAAATAGTTATTAGTTCTTTCAATATCCCCGCATCATGCTGGGGGATAGAGACAGTAAGGATACTTCTAAGGCATAATCCCTCCTACGCTAGTGACCAACCTTGACCTGTGCTATTTAAGGCAAGACTATCACTGTCCAAGACCCATTAAGGCAGAGGTATATGTATTTGTGGCCTAACCAAATTAATTAAAGGATTTCTTCCCTGGTATCATTACACACATATCTCAATTCAAAGGGTCTATAAATCCTTAGCAGGCATATCTGGCACCAGATATCTGAGCTACTCTAAACTTCTCCGTATGCCTTCACAGAAGGCTTCCTAACATGTTTATCAATTCTCAGAAAGAGGTAGCATATGTATTTACTACTCATTGTAGCTCAACAGATTGTTCATGAGTCTATTCCTGGAGATTGGAACACACACATCCAGCCTGTACCATCTTTTTTAGCAGGAGGGGGAAAAAAAAATAAAACCCAACACACACATTTGAGTGGTAGGTGCTACCAAAAGCACCAGCGTGTGTTTGCCATTACCAGTGCTGGAGAGTGAGGTGAAATGACAACACAGCTTCTACGTGGGAAAACATACTGCTCCTCCCAGCAGCAGCCACCTGCCCTCATCATCATCATCATCAATCCCTTCCTCCTCACCAAAGCTGAAAAAAGTCAGCCTCTGTTGATCAGGCTGTGCTGCCTTTTGACCTTACTTGTCTTCACTACAGTAGCAATCCCACCTTGCTCTACCTCTACACTCTCCACGGGAGGACAGCAACAGGCACAGGAAAGGTTGTTGCTCTGGGATGGAAAGAGAGGGCTGCTGTTTTCACTGGGTAGGAAGGAAAGGTAGCAGGCATTAAAACAGTAAGCTGTGTGCAGCAAATTAAGAATTTGCTTTTTATTATTATTGCTTTGGTTATATCAATGGTTAGGAACAGACCAGGGAGCAATTAATTGCAGGGAGAAGTTTGTTTCCCTGCCAAGAAAGAATGGCAGCTCTTTTTATGTGGTCTAAGCTGAGAAAAGAAGGGAAAAAACAGTATTTGAGTTCAGAGGACAGGATAGGTAGCTTTTGCCACTCAGTCCTGTTAGGAACAAGTAAGGGGTGGAATGGCCCAATGGACTGCCTTCTCATTAGCTACTCCTTGTTACCAGCAGACAACAGTAACAGGCAGGCTGAAACAAGTACTCCAAGTACCCAAACGCGAAGCACCCTAAAACTTAAGAGACCTGATCTCCCCTGCAGCCCATTTCCTTCACTGCCCTAGCAGACAAGCTCCATGCAAACTTCTCCATAGGCTCTTTGTGTGGTTAAATGCCAGGAGAACAGGAGCTGTAGCAGAGCTATTCTGACTTTGAGCTGTGAACTGAGCTAGACTGCACCATAATAACCACATTGCTGCTCCACTCCTCTGTGGCATGAGCAAATATTACGGCTTAAGTCTGCTTTTGCATCTGGCAGTTGCAGCGTATGACCCTCATATGTCATAGCAGCAGATTTTCATTTCAATTCCATCATAGGAATTAAAAGTCACTATGCTAGTGGGGCTGGGCACACAAATTAAACAGAGCATTCCAGATTCACCAATTTCTTTCTTAACAACACGGCAGCATTGACTCATTAAAATGACCAAAAAAAAAAAGAAAAAGCCAAAGAGAAAAACATTCCAGCTCAGTGCATAGAACTCAATCAAAATTGTTCAACTCTTCAGTTCTGTTTCACTCATAAAGCCTTTTTTATGTTTCTTAGAATTCTGATTAACTTACCAAGCAGTGAATTGTTGGTTGGCGTCTCATCTGTATAAAACAAAAATGGGATGCATTATATTTTACAAATATCTCTGCCTACCTCCTCCCCTCCTTGCAACACGAAAGCCAATAGTTCTAGCTTTGTTTTCAAAACACATCACCTATACTCGCAACACTGACTATTAACTTTTAGCATCTCTGATACAATAAGAACAGCATTAATTACATGACATTGCTTCATTTTTAATGTAAGCACACGAATATTAAGTTACTGAGTATTCTGTGGGGAAAAACAACAAAAAAACTCTCAACAAGCTATCTTAATGCAGGAACCTCTTAATTGAAAAGGTAGCCAGTTTTATTCTGTCCCTCAATAAAAAATACAACCATAAGCACAATATTATATTCAAGTCCCTTCACTGTTAATCATATTACAAGATCTGTATAGGAAAAAAAAAATAACCCAAGTTTTCAAGGAAAAATACATCAGTGAGCATAAATTATTACAAAAATACTCCTTCCTATGCTGACTTTTCTCTTGACAGTTACACAGCAGAATTACATTCAGGGAAATATTTGTGTATTGTCTTCAGTTTTTACTTACTTAGCAATGTCCATCTCAGGACTACATTTCTTGTCACTATTTTTGCTTTTTTGTGCAACTTGTAAGCACAGCTCACGTATACACTTGTTTTGAGCAGCTGTCTTCCAAGTTTAAGTGAGACATCCATCAAAAGCTACACAATTTCACCTTCACAAGTGGGTACCTGCTTTGCTGCTATACACAGAGACTAAAACATTTTCTTCTGTGTATGTCTCTTGTAATGACTTATTTTAGATTAACAAAAATGAATAAAGTTTCTCTGAAAAGAGCAAAACATTAGAAAATAAGAGTTCAGAAATATACAGGAGAAAGTCCATTACTAGGTTCCTATCAAGGTAACTGCATAAACAGCTCTGTCAACAGAACAACTGGTGACTAGAATAATGGGGAGACCTGGCCAACCGGAGGTGTCTCTGCAGACACTGATGTGCACAGCACCGGCCCCGGGACAGATGCAACCCCAGCCTAAATGAGGGAAGGGAGGGACTGCGCACCCATGCGACAGCAGACCTAGTGCTGGCATATGTACTATGGCACGTCAGGTGCAGCAGGGTTGGTGGGCTCTGTGCTAAATTTATCTCATGTAGCTGTACTGAAGATGGACCAAAGTTGGCCTCAAAAGTAGTATAAGCACCATCAAGCAGCATCGCACCAGGGTAAGCCAGCACTGCACCCCGGCACTCCTCAACCAAAACCAGAGCTTTCTCTCCTGACCTTCCCCCTTTTCTTTCTTTGACTATAGTATTCATGAACCTTGTATTTTTAATGTGCTTATTTTCACAATGGGAAGGGACAGTGAGAGGAGATACTCATTCCTTCTTTCTTCTCCAGAAGGAGAAATGGAGTGCAAGTCAGATTAAGGGACTTGCCCAGTGCCACTCAGGACATTCGTGGCAGTGCTCAGAACTGAATTCTCATTTATTTCAGAGTATTCCTCTTTAAGACATCCTTCTGTCAGCAGAAGCAGGATTCTCCAAAAGCATATTATGGAGATGCAGAAACATGTCTAATCTAGAAAGCTTTAGCCACATCTCTCAAGTAGAAGACACTTAAAAAATTATTATTTTCCTTTTCCAGCTTTCTTCATGTTGTCATTAAAAAAAAAAAAATTGCCAAGAAATTACAAAATTGCTTATCCTTTCTTTGGGGTCATTAAACACTCATGGACAGACCTTTGTTTGCTTGAAGTTATGCATTATTTAAAGGTAATTTATCAGTATCTTCTTTTTTTGCCCTTTTTTAATTGTACAAAGAGCATTCTCAGCATTTCAGTCATAACCTGTAGTCCCTCACAGGGGTTGCTCATATAACAAGCTTTATCTAGTTTCCACTCCTTGCCTAGGGCAGCATTTCTCTAGCATACATATTTGTCTGAGCAAATCTGCCATTCCTTTCCCATAAGTACTCATGTATGCAACTTTGAAGTTAGTTCTTTTCACTTTTTCTTGTCTAATCAGATAACAGCAACTCAATTGGGACTGGGTATAATGCGGAAAAAAAAAAAAACCAAAACTCATTTTACTGCAGAAATATTGCTTATAAGAGAGGGTATTTGTTCTAAAAACGGTCTCTTGCTAGGCGGTTCCCCATTCTGGAGAGTCAGGTGTACTCTTTGTATATGTGAGCACAACCACTGCACATGTAAAGAAGGATTTTATTCTCAAGTGTTTCAATTATTTTTCCTCGATAGAATTCAGTTCTGCTCTAAACTTCCTAAATCTAAGACTGATGAAATCAGTTGCTTAACTGCAACTACTTATAAATATCTGTAAACAGAATTTCTTAAATGTTTTCAAATATTTTATTTTTATTATTTTGTCAACAGCAGTCACATAAATTCTTTTTAGAGACTGCAGCTTACATTTAGAATTAGTTTTTTAAAAAATAAACAACAACTTTGGCAATAAAAAAGGAAATAATGGAATTTCACTCTGGATTTAAAGGAGTAGATTTTAGCACACTCTGCTTAGAATTTACAATGTGTTTGTCCTATTTCTTTCTTAAAGGTGAAGGCTAAGGTTAGGATGTATTAATTTTATGCAGCACTTGGATTAAAAAACCCACAGGTGAAGCTGGAAGAAATTGTGTATAGAAAGTGATGGTGAATATCCATTAGCTGCCCAAATTAAGTTGCAACACTGAACACAGTACCTTAAATTCCATTATCTTTGCTGAAATCTGACAAAAAGGAAGTCAACCTACTGAGTTTGGGCTTTTATAGTGGCCTTATATGCATAACAGTATCCCCCAGTGATTTTACTGAGGCAGGGAGGAAGCATGCGAGAGCCAAACAGAAATACTGGCTCAAAATTTCTACCAAAGATTCTAAAAGTAAGGAAAAAAAAAAATAAACTCATGGAGAATCCACTCTTTCTCTAAGTCAAAGCAAATTTATATTAAACTGCAAAACATTTCCCCAGATTTCTGAAATCCCTGTTATCCATAGAAAAATCGTGTCCATTCCTACCACTCCTTGTAATGATGGGGCCAGCAGAGATCACAGCATTGCCGGAGGTGCTCTGAGGACTCCAAGTTGTCCTCCCACCAGCGTCTCTTCTTTCTCTGTTACTGCAAATCTGAGCGGTTAATCAGAACAATCACAGTTTTAGAGTGGAACGGAATTATTGCCCTTCTGTGCTTCCTGCTTTAATGTAAACTCTTTTATAAGCAATATTACAACTTTGATTTTATTTCTTAGTATGCATTAAATTACTTTGCAATAAAAACAGCTGCAATATTCCCCAGAAGTGTATCTTATAAATGCCTGGCTTCCCGTTGTATTTTGCTTCATTTCATTTACAAAACTACATTGCTGTCATGTACAAGATCCATCTTATATATTAAATTTTCAGTAGTTAATTTCCCAAAGCTTTGTTTACCAACAGTTTTTCCCAACAAATGTGTTTTGCTTTATTAGGGCTAGACAACTTGCTACAAACCCTGTTCTAGAAAGCTTCTCCAGTTCCATGGAGTTCTAAACAGCAATGACCCACATTAAAGCAATCCCCAGCATTCTGTCATCTGGAATCTACCTTTAACATCTCTAACTTATCATCTGCCTTCATCTTGGGTAATCAAGTATGATACAACTATGAGCATTGCTTTAATTTCAACTTCTTGTGAAAGAACTTCAAAAACCTCAGAACATAAATTCAACAGAAACAATGAATTATTTAATAGTGTAACATAAGAGTGTACAAAATGTCAGAAGTCTATTGAACTGGTAGCATTTTAAAATTCTAAATGGAAAGTCATTCAGTAGAAAACAATACTGCATTCTGAAGACATCACAGAATATTGTGCATTTATATGTTTATTTAAATGTTTCAATTTCCAAAATACATTTGTTGTTCCTGATGCTCCTAAAATTAAATATTTTTTTTATTGACACAACTTCATGAACTTCAGCCAACCAGCAGTTTCTAAACTATAAGGGATGTGGTAATAAACCATAGGGGATGCAGTAATTTTTTTTTTCACTATCAGAAACTCTTTCAGATTTTCCTTGTCAGCATAAAAACACAGAATATAGCTTTAAATTTTCCACAAATTCTATTCTAAGGTCTTTCTATTCATCCACTGTGATTGTGGATACCTTGTTTCTTAGATGCTATACTGAGAATATCAGCTCTGAAGCTGTCTCACAGTTGTTATTTTTAAAATGGATTAAGGACCAGAAGGTGATGAGATCATTTGTCACGTGTTCAAGGACAAGTGTTCTGAAGGTCTAGTCTTATTCCATCTCCAGATGACAATATTCATTGCCCTCTTCTTTACCAGTTGTTTTACATGCCTTCAGACACACAAAACATTCTTATTTCAGACTCTACAAGTCACCTTCACTCTCTGCCATACAAACTTCCGTAACATTTGTACGCAGGATAACTCCAGCATGCCTATTTTATTTCCAAAAAATTAACAGGGACTTCTGTCCACTGACACTTACTGGCACAAGAAAGGGACAATCATCTGCTCTGCACAGCTTTGTCACACAGTGGAGGAAGACCGTAGACATCTTCTGGTTCTTGTGCTTCACAAAGCGAAACACCTCAAAGGAAAACCGCCCCATTTGGCTCTTGCCATTTTCAATTATAGTTGTCTGCGGGTCCTTGTCGCAGCTAGTTTTTGTAGAGAAGTTTAAAATTAGGATAAGCAGCTGTATGATTAACATTTTGAAGCTCTTTGCTGAGAATAAGATAACTTAAGCGGCAAGTTCAGTGCTTTAGCACCTTGGAAAAGAACACAGCGCCCTAATGTGCTACACAGGCAGCCACAATCTGCCTGTTTGGCTGCCCAGTCCTCTGCTGAAATGCACTCCTACAAAAACATTTTGGTTTGTTTTGCAACATCACAGCTATAACCAAGGTGCCACTTAATTCCAGTGCCCAAAGAAACATGAAACCCGAAGCAAAAAGTAATCAGGTATGCTAACTGGTACAGAGAGGTAACTCCAAATGAAGGCAGTATCTCTGCAGCAGACGTCACTGATAAGATTTAATCTGAGATAAAGCGAAGATGTTTTTCTAAGTTCCAGTTCAAGTAAATGCTATCACTGGGAGTAGAAGCAGGAACATCTATTTCTCTTTAATCATTTCCTTAACTGCTTTCCTGAACTGGAGTCTATGATGTTTTATATCGCTGTCATTCACCACAAGGGTACCTTTCCTAAAATAAAGGCCAGTTTAGCCATTCAGTTTGCGTGTTTATGGTATGCCTATTAGAGCCATTTTGTAGATATGTTTCTCTACCTTCATAATTCTTAGGACTTTGCACCTGCTTCTATGTTTATATTCATAAACAAAATAAGTCCTGACATGTTATCCCTAAGCCTAGCTCTCGGTTCTCCCTGCTATCATTGCTTAGACTTTCCAGGCAGTTTAGGACACCACTATTGGAGAGATTGATAATTGTTTTTTAATGGAATGACCCACAAAGCATTGGATTTGCACAGGACCTACCTGAAAAAAAGATCATACCGAAGATCATCGCTAGGATTACCAGATGGCGTGGTGTAACAGTAGTCCATCAAAACATTCCACCTGCACGGGGAGCAAAGCGGTAGATGAGGAGAACTGACAACGTAGGAGTACGGGTGGAGAGTGAGTGAGAGAAGATCAAAGACAGTACAGGCAAGCATGCAAAGTGATAAGGCAGGTTGTTATATTGAACCTTTAAGACCCCTGGAGTTTCTCACTTGATCTTACAGAGGCCCTTTCTTAAATAAGAGGAATATAGGATTTAAAGTATAATCCAGGAAAATAGTGTCCTTGGAATGAGGACAGCAGCAAGATATGCATTCACCATCAAGGACCTGATACCCTCCAGCTGAGGGCAGTGATTATCAAACATCAACCATTATTTTGACATACAGAGGGCTAGGAGGGAAGACAGTGGCTTCTAAATCAGAAAAATTTGCAATGCCAAGAGCTGAATAGCAAGCAAGACAAGAAATAGCATCCTTTATGGTACCTGCCATCAAGGTTTGTTGCTCTTACAGCTGCATATATTTTGGTTTTCAAAGGTAAACCTGTACTTGGAATAAGGAGCTGCTGGCTGTAGGTTGAATCCTGAAAAACAAACATTGCCTCAGTGTACCAGAAATCCCACTTTCACAGCCCATGTGCATCCACAGACTGAACTCCCACCTAATTTTTCTGACCTTTCTATATAGGACAGTTTCTTTGTCCTCCATAAGGGAACAAGCAAAAAGCAGTGCCAGAGCTATAACCTACAAGTTTGTCTGTAAAGATCAACAACACTTTACTGGCCTTATCCTATACAACTGTTTTGTGGAATCTATGATTTTATGATGTGTTTGGATCTGTGATTAAAGAAAAGGTATCATTCATTGACACCTCAGTAAGTCTCCCAGCACCCACAGGCAAACGTAGCAGCTACTGTGGTTTCCTACAGGAGAAGCTTAACTGGGTTGTCACAGTGTAGCCTCTCCCAGGTAAGGTTGTTAATGTTATTTGACTTGGCAGAGATGGAAATACTACCAAGTTTTATGTATCTTAAACTGTAGTCTGGGAGAAAAGAAACATTCTATTATGCAAAATGGAGTTTTGGTGGAAGTTGCCTTGTTGAAAACGATAAGTAACATATTTTCAATTGAATTCTAGTATTTCAAAAAGAGCTAGTTCAACAAAAGTTGTATATAACATAAAAGTTGGGGATTCTCCACATACTACTACATAGATACAGCTGTTTTAGTGGTTTCTTGTTCAAAGGCTGAACCATTAGTGTCACTTTAGCTATAACCTATGAAACAGATCTGATTGACAGACATTAATTCAGCACACCAAAATGTACTTACTGGTAACATCACCTATGTCAAATAGGTTGTTAAGCCAGAAGGCACAGGAACTCCACATGTTGAGACCTCTTGTGAGAGGTCGAAACACTCAAGACATAAGAAAAATGTCATGAAAAAAGATTTTGATGAGGGTCAGTGTGGCAGGCAAAGAGCAAAAGCAGCTGACAGCAGCAAGAAGCATTAAGCACAGAAATAAAGCATTTTTTTTCAAAGGGAACAACGCTAAAATTCACAGCATGCCCAATATTCAGTCTCTGCAGCATCGGAGGCCTTGGGATGTACAGATGCACCCACAGAGCAGCTCTGCGACATACACAGAGCAAGTCCTTGAAGATGCATTCAAGTGAAATCAGGGAAGTGTGCCTCCCTTAAAATTAATTGTACCTTTAATATATAGCTCTGTCACATTTTGGAATTGATTAAAAAGCCTGCAGCAAGGCCCTCACTATTACATTCCATAGCTGTTCTTCTATTCTTAAAGAGTGTTTTTTATTTGTTTAGACAGACATTTACAAGAAGGCCTAAAAGCCCATAGCCACTTAGGCTCTGTGAACGCCCATTAAACGTCTTGCTGTTCAACTCAGAGTTTATCATAATGGCTCCTCTTGTCTTTCTTAATGATAACGCATGATGATGCCACAAGGTAAATGTAAACATCAGCGTGTGAGGGAAGATGGAGGTGGACTGAGAAGATGAAGAGTCAGTGTTAGGAAATAACACTCCAGCTGAAGCTTGAAAGTTCAGCTTGCTCGCAGCCAAGAGCCACAGTTGTACACAGCCCCTCACCAATACCAAGGGTGGGCAGGAGCCTCAAGGCCCCTTGCAAAACCAGGACTCTCTAATGGGGACCAAGCGAGCCCCCATGGAATAAGAGCTCACAAGGCCACGGCTGTCCCAAGAGGCACTCCCACCCAGGCAGGCAGCAGGCAACACACAAGGTGTCTGTGCACACAGCCAGCCCTTGGATATGAACCAGAAGGGCACATCCATCACCAGAATCTGCCAACCTCAGCAGCGTTATTCATGCCAGTGCTACCTACCCCCTAGAGTGAGTAATGTGACTGAAATCAGAAGGATAAGACACCACAGTTTACTTGTAAACTCACTGGGGTAGGAAGGATGAAAACCCACCTTGGCATGTGGCATTTGAGGCAAAAGCATGCTCACTACGAGCATCAATAGCATTTGTAGTTGACTGTTTGCAGAACTGGGCCTTGGAAGGCAGCAAATGTGTGCTGGTCAATGCGTGTCCTGACTGAGAAACCAGCCTACCCCCACCCTGCCCCATCTTTTTGGTCACAGGTTTATTTAAAAATGAGAGAAGTATAATCTTCACTTTAATAGATTATGGGTTGTTATTTGGAGCTCTGCTCTGTCAAACAAACTTTTTTTTAAAGCACGCTGTTGGAAAAATGTCCTGTTACAATATTTATAGCTCATTATGTTCAAAGCATAAAGCATTGACTTTTAAATCAGTTGCATGAATTATAACTCAGCATCCTGATGGCATGAATAATAATGCAAAAAAATCAGATTCATAATTTACAAAAAATGATGCTTGATAGATTGAAAAATTGATATTTAAATCAGGTATTTAAAATGTATGAATAAAAATTTTAATCAACACGAAAATATCATTCCAGGGATTAATGTTAAGTGGAGGTCCGTGCATTTTTCATGTTTTACTGTCACCATCTATATTTACATATTAGAAGCCTTTACAATAATGCATATTCAAGTTAAATTATCTAAAACATATGGAAGAAGCGTTAGTTGAAAGCTGTTAAAATTATTAACCCTTCAAATCTTGAAAGTCCACACAATGAGACAACAAGCGCAGTGGGCTATAGATTTGGAACAAATTCCACATCCCTCACTACAATTACAGATGATCAAAACACTCTGATGAGGCTTGAACATAAAAATACCCCAGCCAAAGTGCTACAGTTTATTGCCAAGGGAACAGGTCTAGAATATTTTTACAGAATGTACGCAGGTATACACAGCGATATGTACACACACATAAACGTAATCCATGCAAACACAAGTGTGCACTCTGGAGTATGACTGTGTTACTACTACAACTGATTAGTCACGTGGCACTACAGCCTGAAAGCCAGAGCTGTAAGTTGAAGAACCGTATATATACAGGACAAAAAGACTGTGTGTGTCCTCAAAGGGCAGCCACGTAAATGCAAGACAACCCGTACTTGCACACAAAAAGGACACGGCAACTCAGAGATGAAAGATGCCCTGATGAAAGGCCCGGCTCACGGGAGGAGTGGGAAAGGAACAGCAAATAATGAAGAGGAGTTTATACTTTGCTCTGCTAATCCAGCTTGTACCTACATAGTGCACAGATTGATTGAGTCCAGGTCATACTACTGTTTTATACTCACATTGTAAAGCAACAAATTCAAAGTGCTGATAAATGTACCATTGTTCTCTTTTACAGAAATAGCAGCTGATGACCTAAAACAGAACCAGAAACCAAAAACCGTCATGAAGAAAGGTATCTTATCTTTGTGTTTACAAACTTCAGTGTTTTTTGTCTTTAAAAAACCTCAGTGAGTCATATCACAAGGAGTTAATTTATGCATTTGGGTTATAAACTTCAGAAATAGGAATTTATAGTGAAAACACTGACAGAACTTTAACTATGCAGAAAGTAATGGATACTGTTGAAAACATGAATCAGAAAAATAATTAGCAGAGAGGCAAAGTGACAAAAAGGAACCCACTTTTCATGATGTACAAGGTTTACTCGTGGAAATATTTTTTCTTGCACTCTATATTCATATGCTTAGAAACTATTTCATGAGGAATTTCCATTTTTTTGCTGCTACCATTTTGTCATCAGAAAACCTGAATTTTAAGGGAAGTTTTACATTATTTAAGGCTCTCTTCATAAAGGCACTTCTTCATAAACTATCTCACACAACGATGCTACAGAATTTTCCTCTTCTTTCATTGGTTTTGTTTTTGGTTTTTTTTTTTTTTTCCTTTCTCTTTACTCTTGCACGGCTAGAAGTTACTATGTTGCCAATACTGCTATGGCATGCATATGTTTAGGTGTACATGCATATATACACACACATACGGGCTTACACAAACACGGGAATGAAACACACAGAAATGAAAAGCACACTTACGAAGCAAGCTGGGTATTGTTAACCAAGTACTCCAGTGGATAGCTACAGCTAAATTTGTACAGGAGCCCAGGCAAATAGCTGATAATCGTTGGTGGGTCTGGCGTATCGATATAGCCTGAAACGTTACCTATCTGTACCACTGAGGTATTTCCATAAGCATTGATACCTCGAGCTGAGGATACCTGTTGAGGGAGACAGAAAATTACTATTATCAGAAAATTAACTGCAGAACAAAAATACTTGAGAACATTGATGCTTTAGCCCATGATTTACCCAGATATAGCTTCAGAAAATCCTTCAAAGAATCATGTAGTTTAATGACATGTTCCCTGTGTTCTGTTTTTCACCTTCCTGAAGTCATGCATATACAGGTCACAAGTGATATCCTTGTTCTTAAAACACAAACTTGAGCAACATGTGAAAACAAAACAAAAAAAAAAATATTTCTGGAAGAATTTTTTTGGTAGGTACTTTTTTCTGAGCATTCCCAATGTATACACGTGACTTATTGGGAAAAGCTGAAAGAACTGTTCTATTACACTGAAAAAGCATTAGCTTAAAACGAGATTCCATATGCAATAATAAGGCCAATACACAAGCAATTTCCCTAACAGAAAGAGTACTCTGAAACCCCTGAGATTTTCTTTGGACACACCAAAACCAATATACATTTTATGAGTAGATACAAGCCAAATAGATGAACTTTGAGTCTGTGGTTTTGTTACATTATGCATCTCTCAATCTAAATTAGAACACGTGCAAAGAAACACTGTCAGAAATGCAGGAGCTGAAAACTAATGCAACTTTAACGCCAATGCAATGGTAATTCAATCCCTGGACATGTGCTCTCCCGTGTTGCTCAGGCTCACTGTGCAGAGCTAGCGATGACATGCAGCTCTCCAGAAAACTGCTCTTTCCTCCTGGTAGCAGCCCAGCTCCACTCCATCTGTAGCTACTGATCTGAGTAAGGGAATGGTTTGAAAACAGCAGGTAAGCATCCCGAACTACTGTCTCAGTAGGTACATGAAAAAAAAAA